GGGCTATATATGCATATATTTATATATATATATATGTATATATATATATCTGGTCATGGTGATAGAAGACTTGTGGCAACATGCATTATTTCTGACTTTGTCCCTCTGTTTCTATCGTTCTTTGCCGTCGGCAGCCCTAGAGATCAATCCTCACCACCTGCCCTCCCACCTGATCATTCTCCCCCTCCAGTCCCCCGGTGGTAGCAAACAAGACCTTCCTCCCCGACCAGCCCTTCGCGAATTTCACCGCCGTAACACCCTTCAGCGTCACATCCTCGGTCCCATTGACGATAGCCTCCTGCGTCCACTGCTGTCCCCATGCGCCCTGAGTAACCTTGACGACCCTCCCCCTCTGCCAGGCGATGTAGGCGCTCTTGCCGGTGTGGTCGAAATCGAGATCGTCAAACGCGTTGACCCACCCGGGGTCCTGAATCTGGGCCAGCACTTGGATCTGGCTGCCCGAGGGGATGTACCCCTGGTTGGAGAGCTTGATCCTCCCGAAATACCCCTGGCCGGAAACGGTGAAGTAGAGGTATCCGTCGAACAGGGGCCGGGCGGCGAGGCCGTTGATGCCGAGGGGGAAGACTGTGCCGCCGAGGAGCTGGGGGGATTGGAGGATTGTGGTGACGGTGTTGGTTGTTGTGTCGATCCGGAGGATGGAGCCGGTGAGGGAGTCGGCTGAGAGGATGATGCTTTTGTTGGAAGGGAGGGCGAGGAGGCCGTTGGGGAGGGGGTAGTTGAGGGGGATGGAGTTCAGGAGGGTGGGGGTGGTGGAGTTGGGGGGGAGGGAGAAGATGTGGAGGGCGGTTGTGGTGGGGTCGAAACCGAGGCCGGCCATGACGCCGCCTGTGACGGCGTAGGTGGTGGGGGAGAGGGAGGTTAGGCCTGTGTAGGAGGTGCAGTTTGGGAAGGGGGTGAGGGCGGTTGGGGTTGTGGGGGAGTTGGGAGAGAAAAGGAGGAGGGAGGGGGAGAAGGAGGAGAGTAAGAGGCGGGAGTCCGGGAGGGGGAGGAGGTTTTCGAGGAAGATGGGGTTTGTGGGGGGGTAGGCGAAGAGTTCGGTGATGGAGGGGGTTGACGGGGATGGGTGAGCCAGTGATAGGGGGATGGCCCCGAGGAGGGCGAGGTGATGAAGGTGCATCTTGTCTGTTGATGCTGATGTTGATGTTAATGTTGATGTTGGTGTTGGTGTTTGTGTTTGTGTGTGGTGAGAAAACGGGATGTTGATTTGGTTTTTATAAGACGACTTTGCCTGCCGAGCCCAGAAACCTGGTCGACGAAGTGACATCCCATACGTGCGCTTATTGAGGTGGTAACATTGACCCAAGGCAGCGGACGAGTTGGCACCCTGGTCAGAATCTGCAGCTGGTGTTGGCTGTCATCACACCCCTGTGCCGACAACACACATCGCTATACCAATGTTGCACACGCCCTAAACCTAAACCGCAATAAGCTCTAGGCTCCAGCTTAACATCAACTTTCACGGCATCGTTACCCGCCTGCGCTTTGATCTCATCCAACCTCATCCCCGATACTATGCAATGCCTCACCTACACAGTATCCACCCCGAACAGCAACACCCCAACCAGCAACCCATCATACAGTTACTGCCCGTTCAGTCATATCCCCTTGAGTCTGTCCTTCATAATCATATCCCCAACATTGACCAACCCTCGTTTCCATGGCTTTGTCCTTGGGCCGCCGTCTCCCTCAAGCGCAACTCGCATTACCCAAAAGGCCAATACAAATTACTCAAAAGAATCAAATCCTGTAATGTAATCTGGGACGGGAGGTAGCCGTCAAGACGGAAGGTGAACTCAGATCATTTTGCGTCTAACTGACTATTGATTTCAACAATATCAACCCTCATTCGTTTCCATCTTTTGATATCTGGTGAAATTCAAGTTGATGTCCACAAGATATAGGGACTACCCTACACATAGCTTACCTAATGTTGGCCACCGAGTCTTTATAGAGCTTGGGCCGTCTAATCTACAAACCTTGATCCTCTTTACAAAGATCTTACCTTAATCAAAAGTCATGTTGAAAATGTTGAAACAACCATGTCGAGTTGGGCCCCACTTCCCGAGACTCGGTCTTTTGGCGTCGGAGGCAAATCCTTGACTCGATTTTGCTGGCGCCGTCACGATTCACCTCTGACTGGATACCCACGATAGATCGCTATCCACCGACTTTATCTAAACTCCACCATGTGCTCGCCTTATCGACGATTTCGTCATCCCGCCCTGTCGGAATTTTCGGAATTTAGAAACGTGGTCCTGGAACAATAACATGGGATTTTTTTCTTCTGTTTGGCGCTAGCTTACTGTTTTGCCACGCTTGGTAAGATAGGTACCACTCGAGATGGCTTTTCTGCAAAGAAAAGACGTGCTTTCTTGGGCGAAAAGAATTACCGGAAAAAGATTAGGTAGCAACAGGGAGGCCCCGGTGCCGGAACAACTACCTGTATCGTGAAGATGCACTATTCAGTCCGTGACAGCCCCGTACAACAAGCTGCATTACTAATTTTGATACTCGGCAAGGTGGAGATTTCGAAACAGAAAAATGGATTCGAGCGCAATCTATGGAGTCGCTCATGGTTCTGGGCATTGGTAATGGATGCCGCGGAGGAGAAGGGAAAGGGGGGGTTGTTATAGCAACAATGTTTACATGTGATTTATTACGTCAGACTAAAAATACGATTCGCTTATATGTGTGACCTTGTAACCGTCCCCAACCGTCATT